GTGGTTCTCAACCTTTTTAATGCCGCGACCCCAACTGGTCGTAAGTCGAGGACTAAACTGGTCATAAGTCGAGGACTAAACCGGTCATAAGTCAAGGACTAAACCGGTCGTAAGTCGAGGACTACCCAACCGATCGTAAGTCGAGGACTTTCCCTGCCTGGGAGCGCCGCGAATGCGTGGTTCCACCCCCTGCGCTGGTCGCCAAGCAAGGCTGTCCGCCATTTTTTTTGTCCGCCATTTTTTTTGTCCATTTTTCCCCCTTTTCCGGCGGGTGCCTTACCTCCCTTGGGCTGGGCACCCGCCGGAAAAGGGGGAAAAATGGTGGACAAAAAAAATGGCGGACAAAAAAAATGGCGGACAGCCTTGCTTGGCGACCCCCCATGAAATGGTCGATCGACCCCAAATGGGGTCCCGACCCACAGGTTGAGAACCACTGCACTAATGCATCTTTGAAACTATTTCTTTCAAATACTTTGCAAAAGTCCAACATAATAGGATAATGTTCACACTGTACATGATGAAGTCTCATAATTTTGAGAGTTTTTTTTTTATAAAAAAAAATCTACTTACACCCACAGGTGCTTTTTCAAAAGGCAACTGAACTTTGTTTTTCCTTGAAGACGTTTCGTTTCTCATCCAAGAAACTTCTTCAGTTCTGACTGAAGAACTGAAGAAGCTTCTTGGATGAGAAGCGAAACGTCTTCAAGGAAAAAGAAAGTCCAGTTGCCTTTTGAAAAAGCACCTCTGGGACAACCATGACCTGGATGACTGAGAATCTCCATAGACATGAATCTACTTTTATTTCTTCCACAAACAGTATTTTTTAAAAAAAGGATAGACCCATGATTAACTAAATGCATAAAATAGAGATAATTTTTTTTACCAAATAAACTGAAGCATCAGTTTTATTCTAATATTAAATCTCTGCTTTTAAAAAATGGTACTTTGATTTCAACACAGATCTGGCCCACCTATTGAAGCATTGCAATTCATTATCTAAACACCTTACAATTAAAATGACCATGACATATTACTTTATTGATTTATTAATAGTACAAAGTAAGATAAACTTTGTATTCCTTCTTGAAACATTTATAAATTTGTACCTCAGAGTAGTAGTAAACAATACCCCAATGAAGGAACTACCAACTCAGAAAAATATGCTAACAGTAGACAACAGCATAATCAAGGAACCACCAAAAACACCACCACAAACAAGGCAAACCACTAGTACATAAACAGAAAGAAAACCTCACTCCCTTCTAATACTGATCATGTTATGTAGTTGGGTAATGAGACATCTGCAAGAAAACAGCCAAGCTCAGAGAGCACCAAGGACCCCACAGTATTTATAAATTATTTTAATTTTCCAGACAGCAGTCTTAAGCAGGGTACACTGTTATAATGAAGGTGTATCAATTTTATTTTTAAGAGTTAATATGATGTCCAGGAACTGCTTGATAGGCAAGTACACACAGGCAAATGAGAGAACAAACAGCTAGAAGAGGAACAAAGCAATCTTTCTTTCTTTTGCAACTAATATAGAAACTGGACAGGCTGCTAAGGAAAAGGAGCTTTATTTTAGTATTTAGTAAAGAAATGCAGCCAGACTCATTTTCTCTCCTTTGTCAACTTCAAACCTGATTTTGAAGTTCAGGAATTGTTAATTCTTCAAGAATATACGAATTATTGTTTCAGTAAAATTCATTTAAGCTGCGCATAATCTAGGGACACTTTTGGACAACATAAAATCCTCCAGGTTAGCTATTTTGCTTAGTGGACTTCAACCAAACAGAAACTGGACTGTTTCATAACAATGGAATATTTCTGCAAATTAAGAGAGAAATAAAAGATATTTATACTTTATGTCGTGACTTAGATCAAGCTGCAGTTTTTGACAAAAAGATTCATATTGAGGATATAAAGAGGTATCAAATTTTTGACATTAACCTATTAGTAAAAGAGTGAACAGCAAAGTTGCTTCAGTGCTTAAAATTAACTGCTCCATGGGGACAGTACAGGAGAATGGAGCTGCAAAGGAGGACTACTACGGGGCAAAACATTGCAACATAGATAATGATGCCTCAAACATAGATTAAAAAAACAGCTTAAAGGTTCCCCAGCACGTAATACATTTCTGTATAACTTTTAAAAAGTTTGCTTTAAAAGTTGTAATACATTTGGCACTAAATTGATTCTCTCGATTATGAATTAGCTTCTTTAAGTATGTTCCATGACATTGCATAATGTTCATTTACATTACTTGTGTAAACATGCTAAACGTTTTCTTGTGCAACTTTTGAGTAATAATGAAATCATTTTATTATATACAACTTAACCAAAGCAGCATTAATTTATCCAACTGAGGTATGAGTTATCGTACGGTACATGAAAAAGGCTGCTTCTAAATAAGACTGCTGATCATAAAAGTATCAATTCTCTGAGCATTCACTCAATAAGCATTCCTGGAGCACTCACAAAAAGAATAAGTGTGAGATAAATTATTTTATTGTTAATTCTTATTTACAAAATTCTAGTTATCTTTTAGATATAGTATAGTCATGACAATTAGCCATTGATCATTCAATCTGCCACATAGTGGTCCAGCTCTCTTTTATGCTTAGACTTTATAATATTTGTGGAAGCAGAAACCTGTTTTTCCCTTATTAAAGTCTCCATAACACCAAATACTTAAATGTGCAATAAATGATAGCCTGGCTTTAATGCAGTTCTGTATTTAAACACTTTATTTGGTAGCCATAGGAGAGAAGTTATTTCACAGGGGCAAAATAATTGGTTGGCAGAGGTGGGAAATTGCTTCTTTTACACCTAGTCAAACAACTTAGCACCCCTCCTCTGCTAACCTTCAGAAAGCTAAATGCAAACATTTTAATGGATTGTAAAACAAGGCTGCATGAACCCATATCATTCAACTCTTGAATTATACAGAAAATTCCATGTATTCCACCACTGATGTGCAGATTATTTTCCAATAGAAGAGAATAGTTTTTGGCTCAGGGTTGAACAATGGAGTCCCCGGTGCTCTTGAGTTTGGGTTACAGATATTTCATTACCCAACTATGTAACATCAGGAGGGCTAGTGAGTGTGGGGTTTGCTATGAGGTATGCAGCAGCTTACCCTGCCAGGGTTGGTAGGGGTGTGGTTTTCACTTTAGTAGTTCCTTGATTAGGGTATAAAAACAGAGAGCAAACACCACACTCATTAGCACACCTGTCATTACATAGTTAGGTAATAAAATGTCTGCAAGCAAACAATGAAGCTCAAGGACACCACAGATTATTTGGAATTGACATATGGCAAGGGAACATTTTCTATCTTTAAAAAAATAATTCTAATTTTCCGGATAGCTCAGCTTGGATGATTTTATGCCGGCCTTCCTTCTTAAATCCACAGACTGCCAAATGAATACGGGTTTCACATCCTAAATGCACCTGTGAAAATCCAACAGAGCTGGAGGGCCCCCAGGGTGGAGAATAGTATCTTAGGTGCCCTGCCATTAAAGCATTGCTTGATAATTTCCTATAAAAGCCACTACCTCTACTTTTTATAATAGGACCAGGGTAGAAGAACAGCGGTAGGAATAATAATACCACCACCTGAGAGGTTGTGAAACAGTCTCCTACCCCCAAAATAACAATTGCAGGAGTAGCAAATCATAACAATGTATGTATATATATATGTATATTCTTCTTCTTCTTGTGCCATATCCGTTATTGGATGTTGGCGATCATGTTGACGATCGTGTGTGTGTGTGTGTGTGTGTGTGTATATATATATATATATGTATGTATGTATGTATGTATGTATGTATGTATGTATGTTTTCTGAGGTTTTCGCGGGTGTTTGTATGTAGGTCTTTGGATATTCGGGTTTTCTCCCGCGTAGAATTGGAAGTGTCTTCGTCGAAACGTCGCCAAGACACTTCCAATTCTACGCGGGAGAAAACCCGAATATCCAAAGACTTACATATATATATATATATGTATATATGTGTATGTGCGTGTATATATATATGTGTGTGTGTAAATATATAATTAATAATATAATATAAATATAATATAATATAAAATAATATAATAAATATAATTTTATAATATAATATAATATAATATAATATAATATAATATAATATAATTAATATAATATAATATAAGTACACACACACACTGCCCTGAAGCCGAGTTCAACTCTTGCTGAATTAATTGCATTTTTCAGCTTCCCAGAAGGGGACCCTTCAAACAGGTGCTTCTCGTGTGTGTGTGTGTGTGTGTGTGTATACACCCTTCGAAACAGGTGCTTCTCTCCTGTGTGTGTGTGTGTATGTCTCCCATTCCAAGCCCAATCCAGGCGCTGCTAAAATTATTAACACTAATATTAAAGAATCCCTCGTAGGAGAGCAATTACGGGGTCGTGAAACAGAGCGAGGAAGACGAAGCCAGGAAGGAGGATGCAAAGGGGGATGATAATGCCAACAATCGTTACCACAGAAAGCAGCAATATTTGGCCTCCGCTCCGCTCCCCCCCCCTCCGGCGCTTCCCCCCCACCCACCCACCCCATTCACTCACTCTGCGTATCTGTGAGGGAAATCATGATGTCGGTAAAAGCCGCGCCAGCCGGACAAAGAACCGAAGAGAAAGAGCCGGAGCCGCCTCAGGAGCCGTTCGCCACGTCCTCCGGAAACACGCAGCCCCCCTGACTACCCGGCTTCGGCTGCCGACCCGCCTCTCCTCCTCCTCCTCCTCCTGCCGCCGAGGCGCCCGCTGCCGCCACGATCCAAAACGCCATCCCATTGGGGCCAGAGCGCCGAGCCAATCAGCGCCCGCCTTACTCGGCTTCCTTTCCCTCTCGGCCGCCGAGGGGGCGGGGCCTCGGCGGCGCTGAGGTGGCCGAGCGGTAAAGCGCGAGCCAAGGAGCGCGAGCGGATTGGCTAGGGCAGGCCGGAAAAGGGGAGAACGGAAGGGGCGGGGCCGAGATGCCGGCTGGGCTTTCTGGAAGCGGGGAGCAAGGGAGAGCCGGAGAGAGAGGTTCGTCATTTGGGGGAAAGGGAAGGGGAAGGTGAGGGGGTTGGGTCGAGGCCCGGGGCCGCTTCGGGAGGGACGTTATGGGCGGAGTCTGTGAGAATGGGAGATTACTACAATCCTGCAATGCCCCCCCCAGGTGTTGTTTTCCCGCTCTTTTATAGTCTTGTAAGGCAGGGGTCCTCGACCTGGGCAACTTTAAGACTTGTGGACTTCAACTCCCAGAATTCCTCAGCCAGCAAAGCTGGCTGAGGAATTCTGGGAGTTGAAGTCCACAAGTCTTAAAGTTGCCCAGGTCGAGGACGCCTGTTATAAAGCGCTTCTAAATTCTGCGAGGCGGAAGGAAGGAGAAGCTGATAAATACAGTCCTCAACTTATAACCACAATTGAGCCCAAAATTTATGTTGCTAAGTGAGAAATTTGTTCGGCGAGTTTTTGCCCCATTTGACGACTTTTCTTGCCGCCGTTGTTAAATGAACCATTGCGTTCGTTAAGCTAGTTAACAGTGGTTCTCAACCTTTTTAATGCCGCGACCCCAACCGGTCGTAAGTCGAGGACTAAACTGGTCATAAGTCGAGGACTAAACCAGTCGTAAGTCGAGGACTA